TGACAATGTAGCTCGTCTGTGCTGGCTCATTCTTTTGAACAGTGGCTGTTTTGTTTCCTCGATGTATAAGTGATCACAGTCCTCCTGGAGCTTGTAGTAAACCTTTACTACAGCATGCAGGTAATGGCAGTGCTGGTCAACCTGGTGACAAGTGAGAAATTGCACTGAGACCCACCTGGAGCTTTAATAAGCCTTTAGTCCCAATGACCACTTCAGACTCCGGAGTTCAGAGAAAAGGAAGGAAGGAAGGGGGTGAGGGGGAAKGTGTCGCAGGTTCACAGTAGCGCTCCTGTATGGGATGAGAAGCACTAGCAGGAGCGGGGAGAGGGCRGAAGAGAGGAAGCGGCGCAGCTACTTTTTTTCTCGGAAAAACACAGCAGTTGCTGCTGCCTACTGTCAGGAAATGTAGATGCACACAAAGGAAAAAAAGATGTGCAAATATTGGTGGGGACTGTCCCTGTCCGGCCAAAGTTGGTGGGGACATGTCCACAACAGTCCTTCAGAAAGTTACGCCCCTTGCATACACGTCAACCCCTTTAGATGTTTACCTGTATAAAAAAGCCTGGATGGATAAGGCTATGTCTCAAAATTATTTTTTATTGGAACATAACATCTCAATTTTGGTTTAGTGAGCATATAAAAGTATACATACACCAAAGAAAGATACATGCATTTTTCCCATACTATCTAACATGAAATCAGCATAAACGTTTCCCATTTTAGGTTAATTAGGATTACCAATTTTTTTTGTATTTGCTAAATGCCAGAATAATGAGAAGATTTAAGGCAATTTCTAYTGTGTTCTTCAAAGTCAAACATTTAAATACACATCCTTAGTGTTTGGGACATTTGTCCTTTAACTGTATGACTTGGGTCAAATGTTTTGACTATCCCACAAGGTTTTTACAATAGTTGGCAGAATTTTGGCCCATTCCTCCTGATAGAACTGGTGTACCTGTGCCATGATGTTTGTAGGCTGCCTTGCTCACACATGCTAAAAAAATAAAATAAAATACAGCAAACCCTGAAGACATAGTCTCTATAAGATTTGTTGGCAATTGGACCCATTGACAACATCAATACACTCTGGCCTATAGTATCAAGGACAGTTTGTTAGTCAGCATCCTTTTAAATGATAAAACAGGAAAATGTCGCTTATTCATTTTAGTAAAAAAAACAGCTAGCCTAATTGAAAATGCAAAATCCACTTTTTGTTGTATATTTGGAGTCTCTAGAAGTGCAAAAAATTGAATATWGGTTTGCATCATTGAAACATTCACTCATACCAGTTTGAACTGCTCTGGCGTGTTGGCCAACTTTATTAGTGCTATTGTGAGTTGTCTTATTTAAAAGGTAAACCATTATTTTAATAAATAATAACACACWTTCTCTGTCATAAATAAAAATACTTTGTGAGTTTATCAGGCAGGAACTTTACCTGATTCTATTCAAAGTAATAGTCAATCAAAGTGTGAGTAGAAAAAAAGTGGAAAAATCAGTCAAATGTTGCACTCCTTCCTCTTGTCAGCTAAAACAGATTAGGGAACTTTGAGAAGCTAAGTGAGATGGATTGTCCTGTTTCTCTTCTTCTGCTAGAGCACATACATTCTGTCAGTGGAGAGCAATCCTAAACAGTATTCACCATCTACTTGCTGTGCATTGCAATTGTGAAGTTGACATTGCTCTATATCACATTTTTGGTGATCAAGATTCATAGCAGGGTGAGCTCCTTTTTGTCACTGTAATACTTTTGGTTCATTACATTCATAATGAAAGGTGACTTCTTAAAAATCCCAATGTTGAGAAGATTTATTACAATCTTCAAGGCCCAAACTCTTGGAGATCAATAGAACAGGATTTAAGAGAGGAGCAAAAGGGGCAATGTGTCATTATTTTAATGAAATATAGATTTGTGATTGTTAAACAGCTTTTTACTGAGGGTAAAATTGTTCACTATTTCACATCTAAACAAAGCCATCAATTTTACTGAAGAAAAATCAATAGCTGGCTGGGAACAATATATACCCTTCTAATGTAAGTACAGTTACAATGAACAGTAGCTAATAAATCCAAGCCAAAGGTATCACATTTTTTACAGTCATTACTTCAAACTGAGCCGTTGTGGTTTTTAGCAGTCTCCAGCAGAGACTTTCTTCAAGCTACAACACTAAAACAAAGACAGCCTGCAGCAGCTCTTATTTTGTACATAAAAGACATGAACAAAGTGCTTTAAATGCCTGTCTGTTTCATATGTAAGGTAGGGATACTCAGTTTAGAAATCTCCCACTGGAATCACAAATTCCTTGCATGTGAATGGCGTAGAACTGCTTATTGGTAAAGTACTCCTCTTTGTTCTTATTTGGGGGCTTTATTCGAATGAAACAGCCATCCACTGCACCAACCTTGGTCAAAAGCTTTGTGGCGGGCTAAACGTCCATATCCCATCCCAATGTCATCTAATTCCTCCCGTTTTGGGTAACAGATTACTTTGTGTGCAGT